ACAAGGTTTCTTAGGAAAGGTGCCAGGCAGATTCCTTCCCGCGTGACAGAAGGTAAGCCCCCCCCCCCACTCCATGCCAGCTAACGTTGAAGAATGCAGCCCACCTTCCTACAGCTGGGCACAAGGAGGCCCACTTCCACTTTGTGGGTGGAAAAAAAACTCTTCCCATGGGATCCTCCACCAACCCCCATGGGGTCTTCGAAATTTAGTGGCGCCATTGTGTCCTCTGAGCGAAGCTCTGGGCCTTCTTCCAGAGCAGCCTTGGCTACGACAACATTGGGGAAGTGGCTCAGCCCAGCTCAGTGGCCCCTGTTCCCGGGGCCCGTGGTGGTGGTGGGGGAGGGGAGGAGCAACCACAGGCCGGGCAGCCCCCTGACCTTGAGTCCAGTTCCAGCCTTTGTGCCAGTTCTCCTTGCAGGTCATGTCGTCCTGGCAGTCCTCCCACCAGTTCTCGCAGTCTTCTCGGCACAGGGGCACGTCCACGATCCGTTCCTTCCTCCAGCTCTGGTCCACCTGTGGGCAGAGGGGAATATCTGCAGCTCAGGGCTGAAGCGAGGGGTCCCTGGCGCCCTCTGAGCTGGGCGCTGTTCTTGCAGACGTTTCACGACCCAAGGAGGTAATATCATCAGTGCTAGAAGAGAGGAGGAGGAGGAGAGGAGGAAAAAGAGACGACGAGGAAGGGGAAGGAGGAAGACTGTGGGGTCCGTTGAGCTTGGCTGTTTCCTTGCAGACGTTTCATGACCCAACTAGGGAATGTCAGTGCTAGAAGGTAGGAAGGTGTGCAAGAGAGGAGGAGGAGGAGGAGGAGGAGGAGGAGGGAGAGGTCCTTGGTGATTTCTGAACTTGGCTGTTTCCTTGCAGACATTTCATGACCCAACTAGGGAACATCATCAGTGCTAGAAGGAAGTGGGGTTTACAGAGAGGAGGAGGAGGAGGAGGAGGAGGAGGAGGAGGAAAAAAAGAGACAAGGAGAAAGGGGGAGGAGGACTGTGGGGTCCTTGGTGCTCTCTGAGCTTGGCTGTTTTTTTTGCAGACATTTCATGACCCAAATTAGGTGATATCATCAACGCTAGAAGGCGGTAGGGTTGTGAGGAAGGAGGGAGGGAGGAGGAAGATGGTGAGAGTCCTTGGTACTGTCTGAGCTTGATTGTTTTCTTGCAGACATTGACCTAACTATGTAACATCATCAGGGCTAGAAATGGGTGGGATTTGTGGCGGATAAGATGAGGAGGAGGAGGAAGACTGCTATGGGGTCCTTGATTCTCTCGGAGCTTGGTGGCTTTCTTGCAGACATCTCATGACCCAACTAGGGAACATAATCAATGTTAGAAGGGTTTGAGGAGGAGGAGGAGAGGGGGGAGACTACGGGATCCTTAGTGCTCTCTGAATGTTGTGGTTTTCTTATACACCTTTCATGACCCAACTAGGGAACCTCATCAGCGCTAGCCTGATGACATTTCATGATCCAAAGTAGCACTGATGAGGTTCCCTAGTTGGGTCATGAAAGGTGTATAAGAAAACCACCAAGCTCAGAGAGCACCAAGGATCCAGTAGTCTGCCCCTTCTCCGTCTCCGTCTCCTCCTCCTCCGTCTCCTCCTCCTCCTCCTCCTCCTCCTCCTCCTCCTCCTCCTCTGTAAACCCTTCTAACATTGATTATGTTCCCTAGTTGGGTCATGACATGTCTGCAAGAAAACCACCAAGCTCAGAGAGCACCAAGGACCTTCCCCCTTCCCACACCTGCGAAACTATGAGGCGGGGGCTACTTCCCCTTCCAAGGAGGAGCACTCCCCCTCCCCCAATTGTCTGGGACCCTAAAACCGCTTCCATCAGGGCTCTGCTACCTCGGTTGGGACCACCCGCCCTCCCATAGACCTTCAGGGGGGGACTCTAACCACCCCCGACACGGGGGTCAAGCAGCCCGAGGCCGCCAACCTCCATGCCAACACCGGAGGGTTCCTCGGACTGGATCTCGGGGCTTCGAGGCCACGCCCAGCCTGGCTGCCTCACCTTGCTGATCCAAGGCCCCAGGTTGGGGGAGCACTCGTAGAGACAGGTGTCCTGGATGAAGTGCTTCTTGCATTTTTCGGACATGGTCCCACAGTGGTTCCAGTTGAAGTTGTAGAGGTAGGAGGCGTCTTGGT